GTCTTTATGTAGGAACTCCGGGCCCAGATACCACCAACGCTTCAATTTGATTTCCGTTCCTTTACCCCATTTTGTTAGGTCGTCTGCTGGATTATCCTTTGTATCCACCCAGCGCAAGTTTTCAGGGTTTATAATACTAAAAAACTCTTCAATTCGGTGTGCAACGGACGGTTTGTACCTTCCTTGGTCGAACTTCACCCACTACAACACGGTATCCTCGTTGATGATCTTCCTTAACTCCATACTCCGTGCGAGCGCTACCACTGAAGTACCAAGATTTTCCATTAGTTGTTGTTCTTCTCAAGTTCATCCGACCTGTTTTTCTCCTCCAGCTCGCGAAGTTGGTATGATTGGCCGTGTAGGCAGACTTTGCCCAACCTGGTCTATACAAGGTGAGGAATTGATGGCCTGTACGTATTGGTGCAGTTCGTTTTTCACTCGGCTTTCAGTCGGCTTCGCACGATTTGCTTCTTTCGTGAGCTCAAACACGCTCGTAGTTACGTCATAACGTTTGTTTCAATCAGCGTTTGCATTGGAAATTGAATATGAATTATAGAATTTCTGTATGAAGCCAACATTTATGATTTTTTTTCCACTGAATGTTGAGATAATGTATAGATTATTTTATTAGCACACTGTATACCAGGAAAAAGCAGCCTCCTGGTGAGTTTTTGTCCGTTTTCAAGTAAGTAAAAATACAAAATGGGTGCTGATATTTCCCGGATACTTTACAAAAGCATACAAGCAAAAGCAATCATCATGCAAACATATAGAATTTGCTGTACTTCATACTTCACAAATTTGCTTTCGACTGTTATGACGTCGTGGTCATCCTCTCCCGCAATGTTTACCTTTTTCCCTCTACCAACACATACGTGAGGGCTAGATCTCCACACCTTGTATAGACCAGGTTGGACTTTGCCGACGGTAAACTACACGGCGAATGAGAACGACCCAAATTTGAGTTTAGTTCACTCATAATCGCCAAAAGTGCAGGAACTCAGCAATGAGTAAATTTGCCTCATGGTTTGCTGTGGAAAACCTCAAAAATCGGCCGGAAAATAAGTAAAATTGACGAAAATTTTGCTCAGTCTAGGAGTAGGTACTACATTGGGTTCGTTCTCATTCGTCGTGTAATACTTTTCCGAAGTCTACTTTTACCGCTACCACTCAATTTACTCGACTCTACGCGCACGGGTTTACTATGACAACGATTCAACGAATTCAAAAACTCACTCAAGAACTGTGCGTGGTTTTCTAATTTTTCAGTTGCGAGGTCTGATGTTCATCTTCTGCTTCTGAAATTTCCTGCTCCTGAGTTGGTTTATCTGATTTATTATCATCATCATCATCCTGTGCTGCCCTAATTATGCGACGTTTAGTCGAAGATTTGCTCTTATTAGTTACCTTTCCGATCTCTTTAACGGTGCCGCTACCTTTAGGTGGTTGGATAATCAATCACCACTGTATGAATCCTGGTCCATACCGGCGCCGGTGGTGTAGTGGTAAGCGTGACTACTTTCTCACCCCAATGGGTTTGAGTTCAATCCCAGCCGAGGTCGGTGGTATTTTTCTGAGGCAAGTAAAGCCGTTGGTCCCGGCCCATGTGTGTTGAATGGGTGCGATATCCGCAGGTGTGGAAGCTGCCTTCCTGCACATTCGATTGCCGTCAATCGATGGCAATCGATTTCCGTCGGTGATTGGCACTAGATTGCGGAACAGATACCGATGTTAAATAAAGGAATGAAGAATCCTGGTCCGTCTTGGTGAACCCAATGACTCACCGATACTTGTCGAGCAGAACCAGATAACCTCCGCTACGGACTCGTCGACACATGGTATCACTCGAAGTGATACCATTATTGACACTTCTCGCACTGGACACTGACATCGTACTTCTCATCGCAGTCGCAACATGGATACAGGAGCATTCCGTTTGTCCACAATTGGCAAATCAAAGTTGACTCCCGTGGAGAACAGAAGAACTACTATGAAAGTGATGATTTAGCATTAGCATCGAACAAGTTGCACAGTATCGTAGGTGGTACGAATGCAAAACTATTAAGTGCAAGACGGACATCTATTACTGGACGGATAGTAAGTAGGAAATAATTACCATCTCCCAGATAAAGACATATGCCGCTCCAACAGTTAAGGATTGTCTGCACGATTGCACTCGTATATACCTCACCGTGTAAAATTTTGAAACCATCATCACTTTCATAGATCTTCTATTCTCCACGAGTGCCAACTTTGATTTGTCAATTCAATTTGTCAAACGAGCAATTCGAACTGTCAAACGGGCGATCAGATCTTTCAAACCTGGGGTAGGACGTGCTGTCAAATCAGCCTACTGATCGTTCTTGTATGAAATTGGTTCCAAACGTAAACAAACCCTGTAGGTTTCTTATGGCTTCTGTACGTTTGGAACCAGTTATGCGAGGTAGGCGACAATTGTTCGTATTTGACAGCCACCTCCCCCCTTGTTTCAAACGAGGTGAGACTCAAATCAACGCAATATAAATTATTTATATGTTCGTGTCCTTGCTCATGATACGACGCGATTGGATGAGTAGATGGCGGTAGTGTTTAACGTATTTTAAACAGGGCGTCTTGGGCTAGAATATAAATGTAACTGCCACGTCGGTTCGTCTGTGGTTGTAGGTCACCATCGGTGAATTTTGAGAATGTTACTCGCAGTCTCTCGGATCGAGCTCAGAAAACGATTTTCAAACTATGCTTTTTTCGGCAATACTCCTACACATGTATCTTAGGACGATAAGCAGCAGAAAACACTACCGGAAAAAATAACGTCTATTTGTTGAAACTATTAACATTCCCCGCAAACCAACAAAACCATCTTGTTTGGGAAACATATCATTTCTGATGGTGGTGTTAGTTTGCGTGGGAGTGCTAAGAGTTTCGACAAATTGACATTTGAATCTCATTATTTCACTCTTCTTCCGACAACAATAAACAAAGCGCGCAGCAGTAAGAAACGTCAAACAACAGAAACGCGTTCACGGCCTCTTAGGTTCACGGCAGTTATGCCAACCGGTGGCAACAAACGATTTTAAATTGGCTCACTACTTGACTAGCCTATTGGTCCCAAGCAAACGATTAACGTATCCCATTCTAGACGAAATTCTAGTACTACGCAATGTTTGTTTTGATTTGCTATGAAAGTTTGACAGATAAAATGAGGGGTTCAAGGATTTTCCTATGTTTCGAGGGGTGCATCGATTAGCTTGGGACCGAAGAGAGGACCAGAGCTGAGCCAAAAAGTTGAGCACGTTTCTTCGGGACCTTCTGGTCTTAGGGTTACCTCTATGGTTATGCCACCGACGAACCGACGTGACAGCTCATACAAATTATTGTGCCCAAGACCCCATATTTAGGTTCTGAACCATTTGGTGGATTAACTTTTGGTTAAAGTTTGACAGATGGAAAGTTATCGATTAACCCTGCTATCCGAGCGTGGTTACTTCTGACAGACAAGAAGTTAATTTTGTCGACCTTGACTAAGTTCTTCTCGAAAACCGGTCGATCGACAGCACAGGGATTTTCGAACATAGAAAATAACTATCGAAATGTAAATTTAACTCGGCAAATGGTTCACAACCTTAAAAAACGTTAAAACCGCCATCTACTCATCCTATCGCGTCATACCATGATCAAGGTCACGAACCCACGCATAATTTATATTGCCTTGGTTTGCGTCTCACCTCGTTTGACAGATGATCTGATCGACCGTTAATCGCTCGTTTGACAATTCGAATTGTGGACAAAAAAAAAGCTCTTGTGGCATGTCGGTTCGTCGGTGGTGTTAATGTCTATGCTGAAATCAGCTTCCTGATCAGAATTGATCTTCCTGTTTAATTCTTTGCAAAAGTATCTTCTAGACTTTTCCGAGGGGGGCGACTCTATCTACGATGCAGGAAAAATTATGTTTTGCTGTGGTTAGCTGCGCGAAAGCTGAGTAGATAGAAAGAAGATTGATGACGATTCTGAAGATTTCCTGCAAAAAGATGATGCGCGATCTAGATGAAAGAAGATCTTCCGAATATTGATTCGCTAGTGTGAGCATCTAGGAATGAGATTTAGATGTGTCGCCCCCCTCGGACTTTTCCATGCTGCCATCGACGACCTGGAAACATAAGTCCTCAGAATTTACCCTGGAGATACTAATCTGTGTCCAGATCGGTACTCAGTGTACAATGCGTGCAAACTGCCTCAAGTTTTATGGACATTACCGAGGTCGGTGGGATTATCCTGAGGCATAAAAATCTCTGATCACGTCTTCCTCCGGAAGGGAAGTAACGCCATTGGTCCCGGCCCAAGTGTGTTTGAATGGGTGCCTAACAGAGACCGCCGTTAAATAAAGGAATGAATTACTATTCAACGAACGATGAACCAGCCTACAGCTTGAAAGCTCTAACTAACTACATAGTCATCATATGACCCATGAAAGCATGGCACATTATTAAGAAAGTCCCAATTGAAATTGACTCCCATTGACTTTCCTTACACCGAATCAACAACACCTTCTTGAACTAGAATACGAAGAAACGAACAACTTTGGGGAAAGGAAAAACAAATAGATACTGGAAAAAGCTAACAACTATAACGGGATACTTCAGTGTCTTGTAGTGATATTGTTATGACTGTTGTTTGTTGCTGCTGTCTGTTCGGTGTCATGTTTGTAAGAATCAACTTAGGAATGAGAGCTTTTCGAGAAATACACATCCAGATTCGGAAAAATTACAGGCGAATGTACAGAGACGAATTTCGTAAAGTAACACCGAGAGAGCACAACTTACGTAATTCTGGAGGAACGGGGTTTAACGATTCCGATTGGTTATTTTTTTTGTTCCAGAGGGGAGGAAATAGAAGAAGGTTAGTTGGTTAGCTTGTCACCCGATTACGACGATTTGGATTTGTTGGTTTGGTGCTAGGAGATATGAAACACTGTAACCCAGCAGACCAACCCGCAGCGCGACACTTACCGAGACGGTTCCCTGGCGAGTATATTTGGTAGATGCAACGTACGAGTATTTTACCGTATAAACAACGGCATTCATTAGATTCTTAGCCGCCTGAATAAGCGAGGTGGCACTGTCCAGCTGCAATGAAAAGAAAAGGAAAAGCAAGAGTCAACGGTAGATTAAAACGTCCAACTAAGGAAAATGGAACAAATTTTACAATTACCCCTGACACAATCAGCTCACCGCTGATGTTTTGCACGTCGGCCTTTACTTTCGACGTGATTTGGATTTGGTGGCAGTAGAGCGCAATGCGCTGCAAATAAGCCAACAGATCCTTCTTGGTGGAACTTTCCGGACACTGGTCGGCGATCTCACGGGTCAGCTTGTCCAGCTTGGTGCCCGCCTCGGAGATCTTTTTGGCAGCGTTGATCACGTCCATGGTGGTCTTCAGCGGACCACGACCGCTGAAAATTTTCGGGAAATTTTTGGGTAACAAATCAGAAGCGAATCGAAACACACTGATCAAACAAACCGGGTAAAGTCCGTCATCTCCATCATGATCATACACATGTGCTTGGCCAGATAGATGATATCGTTACCAGTGTCGTCCCATTTGGCCACTTCCGAATCGAACGTCAGCTTCTCGCGACGGAACAGCTCGACCTGTTGCATAATCTTCTGCTTGTCCTCTTCGTTCATCTTACGCATAGCTTCCTGCAATTAGCTCGTTAGGTTCAATCTGTACAATGGTGCTGAAGATCCGTAAAAGGAAACTTACTCTAGCAGTCGTAATTCCACTGATATCCGGATACTCATCGATGGTCTGATCACCAGTATGTGCGCTCGCTAAATACGAGAAAGTTAAATTAATGGAAACAATTCACAGTCTTGAAAGATTCTAGCACTAAGATACACAGATAGCATGCAACCAAAGCAAACAAAAACCAAACACCCAAATCAAAACAAACATCCTTACATCTACTTCGGGTTTCTACGGTCATATCTTCAACGGGTTCAAACTCGGTATCGGTGTCCAGCTCGTCCGAGCTCTGATGGGGGATTGAATCCGATGATGATGGTGATAATGGTGATGGTGTGGGTTTGGATGGACAGAAGAGGGACGTGCATAATAACATTTACGAACGAATACCGGTGGGGAGTAATTGACGATGGACGATGATGATGGTTGGGCGGGACAAATGATACAGAAAACGAAAAAAAAAAATACAGATAGTTTAATAACAATGAAGTAGAAATGGGTACGAAATTAAGGCACGAATTTACACACTACCAATACAGTGGGGGAAAAGAAGAAGGGCGAGCAAGACACACACACATAAACAGCAAAACGGGAATTTGACCGGAAGGCTTACATTTGCTTCTGGTTTCCAGTGTGTACTGCTCATCTTCAATGTCCTCCGGGTCGAGATCTTCTTCGTCCTTCGGAGGGGGCGATTTGGGGGGGAAATTCGTGTTATTTCGTAGGTTTTCTCAGAGTATTGGCCATTAACAGGTCGGATTTGGATTGTTGCATTTTGTTTGGAGGACAAAGCGAGCGAGTTTTATTTTAATGGAAGGTACAATTGACGAGAAGTTAGGAGAACTTCGGAAGAGAATTTTCTGAAACGCCAGTTCGGGAAAATTCAGGAAAGAAGTTTTGGGAAAATCAGGAGAGAAATTCTGGGAACAGGAACAGCAAGAGAGCAGTTCTTAAAACTTTAAAAGAGAAGAGAAGAATCATGGGAAATTTAGGAGAGAAGGTCTAAGCACTTCAGAAGATAATTTCGAGGAAATTCAGAAAAGAAATATTCGAAACATCAGCAGATAACTTCTGGGAAGTTCTTGAGAGAAAATCTGAGAACTTCTGGGAAGCTTCAACAGAGAAGTTCTGGTAGCTTTAAGAAGGATAAATACAGGAGAAAAGTGAATTGAACTCCAGGAAAGCACATCTGAGAACTTCAGGAGAACATTCTGACAATTTAAAGTGAGACGTTTTGGGAACCTTAGCATAAGAATTCGGGTAAATTTAAAGGAAAAGGATTGGGTACGTTGGGAATAAAGTTCTTGGAAACATTAGTGGAGAAGTTCTGGAAACTACAGAACTTCAGAATATAAGCTCTGGCAAATTCAAAACACAATTCTGGGAACTTCAAGAATTTAAGAAACTTTTGGAGATAACTTCAGGTAATAAGTTCTGGTAACTTCAGGGGAGACGTTCTGGGAACTTCAAGAAAGAAATTCTGGTAAGCTAAGGTAATTTTTTTGGATACTTTAGGGTAGACATTCTGGAAACATTAGTGGAGAAGTGCTGAATAGTTCGGAAGAGAAGTATTGGGAACTACAGTGGAAGAGTTCTGAAACATTCAGGAAGGAAGCTCTGCGAATATCACAAGAGAAGTTCCGATATCTCCAGGAACTTTGATAGCGATGTTTAGAGAACTCCAGTTCGAGTTTGAGAAGTTCAGAGGAGAAATTTTGAAAATGTAATAAGTGAACTTTGAAAGAGAAATTCTGGAAGATTCAGCAGCGAAAACCTTCAGAAGATATGTCAGAAAACTTCAGGAGAGAAGTTCAGGAAACTTCAAGAAAAAATCTGAGAATCTCTGAAGAAAAGTGCCGAAAACTTCATGGGAGATGTTCTGGGAACTCCATCTCCACCTTCAGGTGAGGAAACATTGAACAAGTGCTCGGGAGACTCCAAAGCTCTGAGGCAAATAATTATATAGAGAAGTTGAACAGATTCCAAGGAACTTCAAAGAAGTTTTCAAGAAGCTTCTGAGAGGATCTGAAAGAACTACAGATAAGTTGCTTCAGAGCAGTTCTCAAAGAACTTCAGAGAATAATCAAGGAAGAAAGGAGAAGTAATCAATGAACTTCAGAGCAGTTTTCAAGGAGGTTCAAGGAAATTCTCAAGAAATTTTAGAAATAGTTCTCAAGAAACGGCACAGAAGTTCTCAATGAACTTTAGGGACGTTCTCAAGGAACTTCAAAGAAGTTCTCAAAGAACATCGTAAAAGTTCTCCATGAACTTCAGAGAAGTTCTCAATGCCCTTCAGCCAGAAGTTCCTAACGGTCTTCATCAATCTTCGGAAAAAGTGCATTGGGAACTTCAAAAAAGATATCAAAGAACTTCAGTAAAGTTTGCATGGAACTTCAGAGAAGAACACAGGCAGCTTCAAAAAAGTTCGGAGAAAGTTTCTCAGGCAACTTCAGAGAACTGCGGAAATTTTTAGAAGTATTACAGAATAAACCCTTAAAACAATTTGCTCGCTTTGTCCCCCTCCGCTGAAACCCCGCCACTTACCCTATTCATCAACACAGCCCGACGAATCTCCCGGACTCCATCGTACACCAGCCGACTGGCATCGATGAAGTCATTCTCGTCGACATCCTTGGCCGAATTGGACGACAACGCATCCACCGCTACGTCGACGCGCTGTGCAAATTTGGACATGACCTGATCGCGTAGTACCTTGACCGCCTCCAGCACACGCTTAGTGTAGATGCACGGTTCGTAGTTGTCCATTTCCGCTTCCACAACGTTGCAAACCCGAGCTGAGCGACCCTGAATGGCGCCGGCCGTGTTTCGCAAATCCAACGCGTCGCCCTCCTGCAGTGCCAGAACGCACTTGTTCACGTCCTCCAAGATGTGATTCTCCGACACGGCCAGGAAGTCATCGATCGTGGTAATGTCATCGACTGCTTCCGTCAAAATGCGGACCTGATTCTCCCAAGCCTGCCGGTAGGCTTCCATGTTTTCCTGGGCCACTTTCGAGTTGGGACGTGCGCAGAGGATCAGAGCGGCATTGATGACCTGCGGGCAAAGGGTTTCAATCTGAGCCGCAGCGTAGCGAACCATTTTCACGCCATCTTCATTGTTGGACATGCTGCACACAAGGTTGGCAACTTCGACCAACTTCTCGGCATGTTTGGTGAACGTTTCAGCACGTTCGTGCACTTTTTTCTCGTTTCCAGAACGAGCGGCATCGATCAAATCTAGCAGCGGCATATTCGTTTCCAGGAACGAATCGGAAACGTGATCCACAACGGCTTTACGCAACTGACGGCGAAGGTCCTTCGTCTTACGGTACATCTGACCGATGGCGCGTTCCAATTCCGGAGTGCGATCCTTGGTTCCCATCTGAAATACAAGGGACAAATTAGATCAATCAAGAGAAAATTTTTAAAAACCATACTCACATTCGACATATATTCCGAGAGTAGATCCTGCAGCGCCTGTCGGACGGCATTGCATTCGGCAACGATCCTCTCACGACGTTCATCTCTAGTACAATCCGCATCGGCCATCAGCGCAGCAGCACTGATGATACTCTCCAAACGCTCTTCCAACGACGGTCTCGAGCGGACCTCATTATACGCCAATGGATCCATTATAATCCCCTCGTCGAAATCATCCAACGCAGCAGCCAATTCTCCTGCTCCGACGTAGATATCCTGCGGGGACGTTGCTTTGCCCTGAGCAACATCACTGATCGTATTGACCGCTTCGCAGACCTGTTTCAAAATGTGATCCCGATTGACCTTGGCCAAATCTAGCTCCGGATGGCGAACGTACACCTTGGAAGCAGTCAACAGCATCGTGGAGTGCTTCTTTAGTACAGCACGCGCAGCAGCCAAGTCATCTCGCAGTTGAGGATCTTTCAGTTCCTGCTGCCTTTTGGCTGCCTGTTTGATTAGCTCATTCGCATTCCTTCCGAACTGACGCATATTATTCATCAACTCGTCCTGCGAGGATGCATTCCTCAACTTGTCCAAATCGTCTTCTACGACGTGCAGAGACTTCAACAGTAAATGTACATCGACCATATCAGCAAGAATCAGCAAGCGAGTAACGGCCGATAGGAGATTTCTCGCAGCGCGAACCATGTTTCCTCGCTTCAGTGAACTACACGGATCCTCAGAAAACTCTCTAGCAGCAATACTCATCGCAGAACCAGTCTTGCGTACCTCATCCACCGCCGACAGCATTTCCTGTGTAATATCCGGATTCTCGTAAGCAATCTGCTCTCCACGTTCGATAAAAATATCCGTTGCTTTTTCCACGGCCGCTACCAGCGCACTGGCACGCTTCGATTTTCCTACAAAATCAGAACAAAATTTAGAGCCTTTGTGTTTCCTAATCCCCAAGGCCGTCAACACTCACCTTTCTTCTTCTTGCTAGGCCCCTTGGTGTTGACCAGTGTCGTCACTTGCAGCACCAACGGTTCCAGCGTTTTCTCCACCGACATTGTGCGGATCTCGAGATTTTTCGGATCCCACTTTAGGGCCACTTGGCCGAAATCCGACAGAGTTCCCATTGTTCAGCACCCACCTAGACTGACGGTGTGATGAGTCACCAAATCGAAATTCTCACGAAGAGGGAATCGATCCAGTCGTTGCGTCGTCGACTGTTTTGGTAAACAAATCACCAACACACTGACACTTTCAAGCCTTCTTTGCAACTTTGCCACAAGGGTCTCCCGTCCGTCCAGTTAGCACAGCGGAAAAAAGAAGACCAAAAAGTAAGACTGCTTCTGATGGGAATCGACCTGAACTGGAATTTTTAATTCACTTTTTCTCTTCGGAAAAACACTTTTCCCACCCAAACTTCAACTTCACTTTGTGGCACAGCACCCAATCTACTCTTTGATGGTATTTTTGTATACTTTTGAAAGTAAATTTTCAGGAAATTTAGCACAAATTGTATGGGTGTGACAGTTTTGCTGCCTGGATTTTTGATGACTTCCTCGATTTCGATTGTTTTCTCACGGGCGGCTGGAATCTCGTTCAATGGAGGCGAATGGGCGGCTGGAAAAATATCAACAACAAAAATGACGGCGCATCAGACGGTATACCCGGTGACGAAAATAAAACACGTTTATTACGAATTCTTAAATCATAAATGAATATTACTCATTTTCCTGATTACTCTGAAAAAGTCGTTTTTTGAGTATTTTTAGGCAAAATAGAGAATAGAGATTGCTAAAGTATGATTGTGTCAGTGATTTGTTTTCATCGGGAAAATTTTTCTCTATGAAGTTTTTTTTTTCCCGATGAAAACATTTTGCGTATACGTATACGTGACGTACACGCAGAAAAAAATATTATCGAAATAAAAATATTTGAGGTAAATATAAACATAAACTCAGTTTGTTCTGGCCACAAAAATAAATTAGATTGATTTCAAACGTATTTAATGTTTAAAGTCATGTGACATCAATGTTTAAAATAAAAGTCATGCTATGTTTATTTTAAAAATATTCGTGTTGAAAATAAACGTGAAAGCTTTATAATCAAAAATTGGAGATTGCCGTTAAAGCTCGACGCAGATGTCGTTACAGCATGATGATGATAATGTTGACAGACTGCATAAAAATTCGTGAAAATTAGCATTAAGTCATAATTTTCATCAAGCCTGCGTAAAATCCTTCCAATATAACATTCGAATTGAAGAAGAAAATGTTTTTACGATCAAACTGATGTGCAGCTATGACTTTTCCAGATGAACTTTCATAAGATATATTCATTTCATTTCACAGCTCCATCAATGCTGCATCGTAAATATGATGTAAACAGAAGTAAATTGCTCAATTACTCAAAATAAAAATGATTTGTCTTCTTGTTATCACTGTATAAGCCATCGAGCACCAGTTTATAGTAGGGTGCGTGTTGAGTAAATCAAGTTCCGTTGCGTTTTCCGTCGAAAATTGTGAGTATCAATATGTTTACCTAAAAAAGGCCAAAATGAACATTTATTGAATATGGGCATCATGTACAATCATTTCTCCATTATCACCAGCATGATACAATTTTTCTTTAGTAAATTAACTTAATTTCCACTTTCATCCTAGTGGAAATCGCACATATAAGTATGTGGTGTAACCACTCATACTATTTATTTGACTCATAAGATTCATGTGTGCTTTTGGGTGGATTATGTTTATGTGTGGTCACATGAAAATCATGTGGAATTTCACATGGAAATTCGACAATAAAAATGTGTGGAATTTTATTAGTGTATGATCCGGATGCAATCACATCAGTCCTACATCCAGAGACCAGTCCTTCACCACGAATGATGGGTGATCTTCCGGAAAACCCCTGGTAACAACTAATGTTCTGTGAAGATTCACCAGCTCCAGAATCCATCTTAGCGCTCCTTGGTGAGACTTTGAATGGGAGCGAGCTGTCAACGAACAGATTTAGTGTCAACGATCAAAAATTTAAATATTGAGATGAATGTCTACAAGATCGATAAAAATATCGTTGTGCTCAGAAAACAAAGCTCTATCAAATGATGTATAAAAATCGGTATATTTTTCGAAGTTAAACAACCCAATTGATGAAATTTTGGATTTCGGTTCCATTTTTAATGCAGATACCGAATATGTATTTACCTCAATATCCCTAAACAACCTGATTGGAACCATTGTTAATCATTGAATAATTTGGTTGTTGAATTTTGAAAAACATGGTTTTTATAAATCATCTGAAGAAGCTTCGTTTTCTGAGCACAAATATATTTTTATCAATCCCATAAACCTTCATCTTGACTTGTAAACCAAGTTTTAAATTGTCAATAAATTGCATACGATGGCATTAATATCCATTAAATGACAGTTCAATCCAGGGCGAGGGGTGCTAAAATGGTGATGCTTGAAAATGTAATCGCACTGATTTAACATAGTTTTTGTGCACCAAAATTGATGAAATTTTGGATTTAGGTTCCATTTTTAATGGATATTACGAATATGCAAAAACATCAATACCCCTAAACAACCCCATTGAGTACTTCCAAAGTAGTTCCTAAAATTATTCAAGTAATCGTAGTAATTTCGGCAATCGAGAGTAATAAAAGTAATTTAAAAGTAATAAAGTAATTTTAATTAACTTATAAGTAATCAGAGTAATTTTTGGTAATCTGACTGGCACAGACCGGTAATTGGGTTCTTTAATTTTGAAAAATGTATCGGTTTTATACATCATCTTAAAGAGCTTCGTTTTCTGAACAAAGCTATATTTTTTTTCGAACCCACACACATTCATCTTGATTTTTAAATAAAGATCGAAAACAAAATAATAACTTCACTGTTGGACACTGAACTAACAAACTGACAGCTCGCTCCCATACAAAGTGACACCGAGGGGCGCTAATAAGGTGATTTTTTCCGAATGTAATCTTACTAATTTAATATAGTTCCAGTGTACCAAAATTAATGAAATATTGGGTTTAGGTTCGACTTTTAATGCAGATTACGAAAGCATTTAGAGCAACCATACCAATGAGTAAACAAGGCACATTTACCAACCTCTACCATAACGCTACTTGCGTACCGGGGGTTGCTATTCAGGTGGGGGAAATAGCAATCCACACCTTGGGAAGTAGTGAGTTCCCAAATTTAGCAACCCGATAGCAACGCATCAGACGGTTTGTTTTGTCGGTGTGGAAAACGGTAACTTAAATTATGACAACATCAATTATGCAACGACCGGTTTGGAGAAGAGTAATTAAGCCAAAATGGAAACGCTGTGCGTAAGTAAAATAGTGCCACAAATGGCAACGACTGGTATGGTTGCTCTTACCTCAATACTCTTAAAGAACCCAATTAACGCTAGTACAAATCTAATAGTATGTTCAGACTACAGAGTTATAACACGTTTGTGGTTATGTGTGACATAATTAAGGGACGATCCCAAATGTGTATTTTTTTACACATTTTAAGATCTCCAAATTTACACATTTTTTGACAGCTGCATATAAATATAAAAAATGTGTATTTTTTTACTCATTTATGTGTTTACGCTGATTACCGTGTTAAGTACAAACTAAAGAGCCTGAATTTATAAAGAGACGGCATGTCAAAATTGGAACAATCCATTATCTGTCAAAGTCATATAGTCATTCCAATCGAGCAGAAGACCTGTCAAATGCAAAAGATGTCGCCTCTTTATTGGAAGATTGCCGTAAAAGCTCAACGCAGATGTCGCCACTGCATGATGATGATAATGTTGACAGACTGCATGTTGTGCGAGCAACCGACAGGAAGAAAAATATTTCCAATTCTCTAACATTTATTTCACGGGATGTTAAAAAATCCCTTCGGGAAGAATTAATAAGAAATACATACATTAGTTTGGGCTTGGGCTATAAGCTACAATTCGTGTGTATCTTTATGTTTAGGATACTTGTTAGATGTGTTTGTTTTCCTTAATATACGAGTTTATGTTGATGGCTACTTACGTTTACTGTTCTTCTAGTAATAAATCTGTCCGTACTCGCAACAATCCGTACTATTTATGTGTAGCTGTGGGAAATTTTTATGGTTAGGTTAAACTGTGCATGATTTGCCTTTTGATTTTTTACCTGCCTTTTGTCTTTTGTGTAGTTAGTAGTATAGTTTGTAAGTAGTTCATAAGTTTGCAAAACACCGCCCTAGTATTTAATCTAGATTTATGTAGGAGTAATTAATTTTTAAACAAAGTTGTTCCTCTTTCACAAAAAACCTCACCTATCCACATGGAAGTTGTTCACTCTTTTGCCCTACCAAGAAAAAACTTCCACATCATCGCGTTTGACAGCTGGAAACCACGGTCGGAGTTGGATTCTGGTGGCGAGGTTTTTGTGGTGGATTCTGCCACCGAGGTTGTTGTGGTAGGAGAGGTGCGTCACAAGGCACAGGGTTGTGACACTCCCCCTCGGTACGCCGCTGTTGTTCGAGTGGCTTACCACCGTTTGCACCGACGTCTAGCACCGCAATCTTGGTCGCTGGTCTCTCCAGAAGTCCGCTCGACGTCTGAACGGTCACGCGCCGAACCTGTCCGTCGGTTGCCTGAACTGCCTTGACCACGCGTCCTCGCGGCCAACAGTTTCTCGGAAGCTTGGAGTCAGCTATCAACACCAGATCACCTTCCTGGATAGGTTTTACGGGTTGAAACCACTTTGTCTTGCGTGTCAACGTAGGCAAGTACTCGTCAATCCACTTCTTCCAGAAGTTGTCGGCGTATACCTGGGCCATCTTCCACGATCGCTTCAGCACAGTGGGACTGTCGTCGAAAATGATTGGGGGCTTACTCCCATCCGAAGAACCTAACAGAAAGTGGTTCGGTGTTAAGGGGGGGGTCAGTGTCATTATCTAGAGGTATGTCAGTGAGCGGTCTTGTGTTCAATATCATCTCGATCTCCATTAACATGGAACGAAGAATTTCATCCGAAGGCAAACGCGGGGGGTCGAAATCGTTCATGGTCTTCTTGACAGACTGGATCAGGCGCTCCCAGCATCCACCAAAATGTGGAGCGGTCGGAGGGTTGAACGTCCACTTGGTGTTAAGACCGACGAACTCGACCATCAGTTTCTTCTCGTCGACGAGTTTCAGAGCTTCGCGCAGCTCCCTCGAGGCTCCGATGAAGTTCGTTCCTCGATCGCTAATCATCTCGAGCGGTGGACCCCTTCTAGCAATAAAATTGCGTAGCGCTAGGATGCAAGAGTCTGTCGTCAGCGAATGTGCTATTTCAATGTGCACGCCTCTGCTTGTCATACAGGTGAGAAGTACTCCCCATCTTTTCTCGGTACGTCTGCCGACTATCACTGGCATCGGCCCGAAATAGTCGACTCCGGTGTAAGAAAACGGTCGCTGGAATGGTGCCAACCGGGCAGCTGGGAGGTTCCCCATTGCTGGAGGCCTGGGACTCGCTTGCCGAATTTTGCAACGCTGACAATTTCTGCGAACTCGTTCGAACTCTGTACGGAGACGGGGAA